TTTTTTTTTTTTTTTTTTTTGGATCTCGAGATGGAAACTCGTTACAGATGCACACACAGACACACCCAATATGCGCTTTTGCACTGCATAGATGCAAAAAAACGCAAAAAAATTGATGAGGACGAGAACCACAACCATCGCACACCTGCAATAAATGAGCGAAGCAACGCGGAGTGTGGTAATTATGGAAAAAGACTGCGGGGTTCATTACTCTTAGACAGCCCTTATGAATTTGACACAACTTATTCAGTAGCAGGGTAGAATAAGCACATGGATTCTAACCACCTCCTCGTCTTGCCATTTTTCCCGGAAATTTTGCTGAATCTAAAACTTATCTGAATTAAAAAGCCGCTGGTTGCTTTTATCTCGCTCAAAATGCGAATGAACTAATTAATCCTCGGCAGAAACAAGAAATGCCAGTCCGAAAAGGTGGCCTTGAAAGCGGAAAAATAAGCACAAAGCCATAAAAACTAACAAAAAGTGATAAAAACCGACGAGTACTGCAAAAAGAAATCGGAAAAGTGCTATATCTTAACATGTCATATCGTTTTTTGGTTTTTTTTTTCTAATTACCGCATATAAAAAACTACCGATATCAATAAAGCTGGTAATGTAACACACGAAGATTTGAATAAACCTACGATAAAACAATTGACAAAGATATGAATATCACAAGTTTACTGCAACTAACCCCCGCGAACAGATTCATTTGAAAACTGTTTCTGCAGCAGATCATTACTTCCACTATTAGCACTGCTACCCGCGCTTTCCGCTGAATCCAACACTTCTTCCACTGAGCTAGTGGTAATCGGCGGTGCTGCTACCGAAGAAGACGAGGGAATTCCTACAGTGGGTGGAGGATCTGCTGCTGCTGTCGCTGACTGTACCGACTCGAGCTGCGCAGTCTCGCGTTCTTTCTCGTGCTGGCCATTCGACGATGATGAGGAGGAGGACGAATCATATAAGCCCAAGAAATCTTGCAGACCGGTAAAAAATTTCATCGACATTTTTCAACGACTACCGGAGCAGTAGCAGACAAAATGGCCAGTTCAGCAAAAGCAGCCGCCTGGCCTCAAAATCCTACAATTTACTAGTGAGCTGTTAGAATAAAGCACCGACCGAGCGAATTCACCGGTGCTCTTTGGTAAAAAAAGTTGCCGGAGCAGTTGCTCTATAATAACCATACAATAATCCTCTTCTTCGCCTTCTTCTTCTCCACAGGAATTAGCAGCCGATAATACAGAAAGGCGGTCAACAGCGACAAAACATCCACATTTTCCATCAATGCTCATTGGATTATTTGACGAGAAAACAAGATGACTGCAACCCTGGAAAAAAAAGAAAAACAATGCACAAATCACGACACCACATGACCATGCGCTTCATTCAACCAAACGCAAACCACCGCCAATCCCGGCGCAACACTTAAGACAGATCAGAAATGAGCAGTAGCTACCACAACCCGACTGCCACGATCCTCGGCCAACGATCATGTCCCACCCTCGCACTTCTCGATATTTTCCAGCGTGTCATCTGAATACACAAACACACATACACATAGATGCATACATTATATAAATACATACGCACATACATACATACATGCACACATACATACAAATATACACACAAACAAACGTACATACATACATACATACATACATACATACGTACATACATACATACATACATACAGTAAATGTGGGACATGCCCGATGAGGTTCTGATCTTGGCGTGGTCTAGTGGAGCACACAAGTTG